AAATGAATACTGACTGTAACATTAGCCTTTTTTGTACGTGGAAAATGTAGGCAGACTGTGACATGATTTATTTGTCTTGCCTTTCAAAGGAGAAACATGACCAGAACAAGAATATAAATATAATACTGGAGATGATTCAAAAAGTTTAAAGTAGGTTAAGGGTTACTTTCCTAATGCTTACACACGTTTTTACAAGTGTCATAGGACATTCATATTATCATAATATATAATTAATCATATCACAAATCCCATTTCAAAGGAACACAAAAGTATGAAATTGGTTTCTTCTTATTTTAATCTCTGATACATATGATCCATATTTCAACAGAAAGAGCAACTTTTTTTTTGATTTGCCAATCATATGTTTATTTAAGAAGGAATTTGGATAAACTTTGACTGAGTATTTTTGTATTTTTTGTTGTTGGTTCTGAATATTTCAATCACTGCAGAACAGTAGAGTCTGTGTACCTTTGTTTCAATTGTTTTTCTTTCTTAAACCAGTAAACGGAAAAGGGACTCCAATGCGTTTTTGTTTTTTTGCATTACTGAATGGTCAAAGGATCTTGGAGAGAGAGAGAGAAATGCCGAGAGATTTTGTTTAGACGCTGGCAAGCCTTCCAGGCAGTATTTTTTCATTTGTTACTTGTTTTTTCCCCCTGTTTTGATAAATGAGTCTCTCTCAAATTACTTAAAGGTTCTCTTTATTTTAATAAATCCTAATATACCCTGGCTCAATCTCATTGAGAGTAATGGCCTTCAACTGAAAATAGATTAATAAGGAAGCTGATGGCTCGGGGGGGGGGGGGGGGGGGGGGGGGGTGGGGTAGTAGTACGTTGATTTTTGGATTACAGTATTGAATTGTATGTAAATTACTTTGGATAAAAGCGTCTAACAAGTGCCATCAGGTAATGTAGTGTTACACAGCCAATACACGTGTAGCGCCGCTTCTCACCATGTGGTGCCAGCAGAGACTTCTGTGAATGTCTCATCTACCAATATTTACAGCAAAGAATAAGAAAAGAGCCAATCACAGAGCAGGGCATCATATTGAACTGTTGTTTAGTTTCAAACATCTGCTCTTCTCTTAAAAACAGTTTACTTTGAGTCTGTTTTTTGACTAAACTACAAACAGAAGCTGTCTGGATCTATTTTCACACGGTAACAATGAAGTTAACCGACATGAAAAAGCTGAAAGTGGCCGAGCTGCGGTCCAGACTGAAGGATCTCGGGCTGGACAACAAGGGGCTGAAGGCTGAGCTGCTGGGCAAGCTGTGGTCCGCGTTAGAGGCGAAACCAAGTCAACAATACGGTGATGAAAAGGAGGATAAACCTAACCTACTGAATTGCAGACCGATGACACCTTCAGCATCACCGGAGACGGTGGACACCCGCCCTCCGTCCCCATCACCCCCGACAGGAGTGCTCACAGACACCGCCACACACGCAGAGACTCCCCCCGGGCTGCTTTCACCACAACACGGATCAGCCGAGAGTGTGGTGTCGGGGTGTCAGGTGGGGGAGGGGGAGGGAGAGGTTGAACATCTGCAGGGAGGTGCAGAGGGTCCTGAAGAGGACAGAGGGGCTCTGCCTTCAGAGGAGAGTATGAGCAAAGGGAGAGCTTTCTACGAGTTCAAAGAGGAGATACGATACGTAAGGTAACCGTTACGCAAAGTAAGATTTGAGTTGTAGTTTTGTTAAGAACAGTGGTGGGAACAGACCAGTACATCTTGTATTTAAGTAAAAGTAGGAGTACCAGAGTGTAGGAATACTCTGTTACAAGTAAAAGCCCTGCATTCAAAATGTTAATCAAGTAAAAGTACAAAAGTGTAAGCATCAAAATATAATTAAAGTACCCAAAGTACTCATTATTCAGATTGGTCCATTTCAGAATAATGTATATCGTACGTTTAGATTATAATTATTGATGTATTAAAGTGTTATCAAAGCTGGTAAAGGTGCAGCTAATCACTTTTGTATACTGCAGGGTAGCTTGTGAATGTTGTGTAAGCTGTAACTAGTCTTATTTAAGTGTTGTTTATATTTCATATCATTAATCCAAAGGTATTAAATAAATGTAGTGGAGTAAAAGTGCACGATACACCTCTGAATTGTAGTGGAGTAGAAGTATGACTGAGCAACACATTAAAATAGACAAGTAAGTCCCTCAAAATTGTACTGAAGTACTGTACTTGAATAAATCTACTCAGTAACTTTACACAACTGGTTTAGAATCATTTAAAAGCTTCAAGCCAAAGAAAATGCACTGTGCAAGGAAGATGAAATAAAGCAAAAACATTACTAAACTTGGTATTTAAAAATCTCTTTGAGGAATATATATGGAAAGGATGTTATAAAACAATATGCTTCTCTATCCCTTGAAGAGCCAAATCACCACAACCTGCAGTGGACGGAGAGGAGACGGAGGAGGAGAGTGAAGATGAAGTCAGACTAAATCCATGTAAGTCTCTGGACTTCACCACCTTTCTGGTGAACGGACCTAAGACAGTCCGCACTTGGTCACAGTGTTTCAAAGTATGATTAGTTAATTTTGTCATAAGAGCGGTGCAGAGAAGTTTTGAAGACTTTCTGTTCCCGTCCCCACAGATGACGGTCACCTCCACTTTAAGGAGGGTCCTGATGGGGCCTGTGGTCAACCGTGGTTCTGGGCCCGATTCCCCTCGCTGTGGTCGGGCTGCAGGCTCACTCACGGGGTGCTGCAGGGCAGGGTGGGCTTTGAGGTGAGGCTGGAAAAGAAGTTGTTGACTACACAGCTGCAGGAACAAGAGGACGTGGATCCCTGCGGCCTGAGAGTCGGCTGGTCTGTGGCCCACTCCTCTCTACTGCTGGGTAAGAGTCATCATTAGGTTCATGTTTGGAAGTATAATTTAAACATATTGAAACTGGAAACGTTAATTTTTTTAAATCCCTCTCTTCTATCGCCAATTGGCTTTATATCTGCCTCTACCAGGTGTGGATGAATTATCTTTTGCTTATGATGCACGAGGGAAAAAAGTGTCAGGTGGGAAGGAGGAAGAGTTTGGAGAACCGTTCTCAGTGGGGGATATCGTCGGCTGTTATGCTGTGAGTAACACTTATCTTGAATTCTTTCTCTATTCACATTCTTTGAAACTTTACTATCTTGTCACCGAGATCTGAGTTGTATTTGTTCTAATCCCGACTCTGTGTATGTCATGTTTACACATGCATGTTGTCAGTCATTCTCTTCAGACGGTGCTGTTGAGCTCTCTTTCCATAAGAACGGTCGTCTCATGGGTCAGGCCTTCTCCCTGGACGCCTCCCTGCTGCTGGCTCGCCCTCTCTTCCCTCACGTCCTCTGTAAGGGCTGCTCAGTCCGATTCCTCCTGGACCCCACAGCTCCTCCCTGGTACCCCGGCCCTCCAGGGTTCACACCGCTGGCAGCCCTTTCTGCTGGGCAGAGGGAGCGTGCAGCCTTGCCTCCTACATCCAGAGCACAGGGCGAGGTGAGAGACAGGAGCTGGGTTTACAGACAAAGTAATACATGCAGAGTTATCACAAAGTGTTTTTAATGCATCCATGTGACGGAAAATGTTGTTGTTGATGAATAACATTTTTAGACTGACATCCACTCTTGAGCTATGACACTAGCATTGCTCATTTGTTTATTTTCTAGCGCTGTACCGAATAGTACGGAGCTTCAAGGCTTCATTCATAAGTTACTATTAGATATTAAATATAATTTAGCTAACGCTTTTATCCAAAGCGAAATAACTGCAAAAACCATAAAGAATCAAACTCCCAACAACAGCAAAAGTGCAGATATATTCACTTCAAACAAGATCAACAGTAAGTGCTGGTGAATCAGATACAAGGCCTAAATTAATTCAACAAATGCAATTTATTTTTGTTGTTGACGAAGTTGACATTCAGATTCTGTTCAGCTTTTTCTGCCCAGTTGCAGACAAAGATTAGGCTACACTGATAGTTTTTGTATTCTGACACTGTTCCTTTTTTTTTAGAATGCTAGGATTCAAACATTTGCAAAACTCTAAATTGCTGCAAAGTCTAAAAGTATAGCTGTAAAAAAAACGACATCCGGTACAGGAAATAAGTAGTCATTACAAGTTGTTATATTTTCATCTCTTGTTTTTCCCTTCAGGTGTTGTTGATGGTTGGTCTTCCTGGTTCTGGGAAAAGCCACTGGGCCCAGGCTCACATGAAGCAGCACCCTGAGAAACAGTACAGGCTGCTGGGCACAGAGGAGCTGCTCGCATCTGTGATTGTCAGTCAAACCCCCAGTCTTTACTTTTGTTAAATATTCCAATATAATGTTCAATTTATGACCAACTTATAAAAAAAAAAAAAAAAAGAGTAACCTGTGTGTGTGTGTGTGTGTGTGTGTGTGTGTGTGTGTGTGTGTGTGTGTGTGTGTGTGTGTGTGTGTGTGTGTGTGTGTGTGTGTGTGTGTGTGTGTGTGTGTGGTGTGTGTTGTGTGTGTGTGTGTGTGTGTGTGTGTGTGTGTGTGTGTGTGTGTGTGTGTGTGTGTGTGTGTGTGTGTGTGTGTGTGTGTGTCTATATATCTGTATCTCTATATATATCTATATCTCTCTATGTCTATATCTATCTATCTCTCTCTACTATCTATCTCTATCTATATATATATATATATATATATATATATATATATAGAGTGGTGGACAGAGGGAGATCTGGCTGCAGCAGGCCTCTCAGTGTCTGACTGATTTGATCAAGATGGCTTCTCAGACTCCTGGCAACTATATCCTCGACCAGGTCACTGCTAGACACATTCATTCATTTAACTCTTGTAGAATCCGAAGTGTACTTGTCAAAACTCACAAATCTATGATGTTATAATCTCAGTATTACATATTACATTTTTTCTTCTTAATTTACCGATTTACTTTCAGTTAATTTCCACGTTTTCTTCTTATTAGTATTTTGTTCTGAGTATCACCCCACTCTCCAAGCACCGTATTCTATAAAAAAAAAAATCAACATATTTTCCAAGACATTTATATTTATTTTACTTCATTATTTTTTTCATTGGTTATTGCAGTCATAGGTATGTGCAATTGTCATTCATTGAAGCACTGAAACGTTGGGCTTATCAGTACATTTAGTTCCACCTCATCATCTCAGTTATCCATTTTTCTCTTTGTCATCTGTGTTTCCAGAGCAACATCCTCTTCTCTGCACGTCGCTACAAGCTGCAGCTGTTCACAGGCTTCAGGCGCCGGGTGGTGGTGGTCGTCCCCTCGGCGGACGAGTGGAAAAGACGACTGTCTCTGCACCGGACGAGCGGGGGGGAGCAGATCCCTGAAACCCCCCTGCTCAAACTGCAAGGTGGGACTTTTTCAGCAGTAGTAGAAGTATAACTATAACAACAGGATAGTTCTGTGGTAATGTATCCCGAGACGTGGGTCCAACTGGTGCAAATATGAAAGGCGTTTCATTTCGGATGAAAACTTTTGAATGAATAATATTTGCATTTCATTCATCTTCTTATATCTTTCAAGCCACCCAAACGTCACTTAGAGAATCAAGGGAAAAGGACCAAAACGGAGTCTACATTATTATGTACTTATGTAATTCAATGCCAACATTTCCCCTTTTTTTCAGTGAATGTTGGCAACATTTTTACTGAAGTCAAAATCAATTTGCTGCACACAAAGGGAAACATGCACCTGTAGTAACATGGCGGCCTTTCAGCAAGCTAATAGCACTATTAATCACAATTGCGTGATGATTTCAGAAATAAGACAAGAGGCTTTAAACTCATTGTACATTTCCTCTCTGTGGGACGAATAAAGGTATTCTGATTCTGAATTGGTCCAATCCAGACTGAACATCACAAGCGCCTCATTTCCGTCTTGCTTCTACATCTTAAACTTGTTTTCTTGCCTCCAGTGATGTTCAGACTTCCAGAGCAGGAGAGCCAGCTTCAGGAGGAGCTGCAGTACGTGGAGCTGCCTCAGGAACAGGCTCAGGCGCTTCTGCAGGAGTTGAGAAACAAGGCTCAAAGACTGCTGCCCCCCAGCCTCAAACAGGAGAAGAAACCCCGACTTCACAGGAAAAGACCCCACCCTCATAGGCCTGCAGCTTCACATAGACTTCAGTCAACTGGATGTCATGGTCAGCATTAAATATGTTCAGCAGCATGTTGGGAGACTTGATATTTTAAGATGTTAGTTGAATTCTTTGTGATCTTTGTAGGATGGAACCGGACAAGACCCGATATGCAGCCTTGGAGGCAGCAGCCGAGATATGTGAGTGTTATTAGGCTGTAATTCTTATGCCTTGTCGTTAGCTTAACTGCACTTTTAAGGCAGAGTTTGGATGTTTTAGAAGTAGGGTTGTTTGAGTTAAGTATCTATTATACTGTTACCTACCGTTGTAGACCAATGTTGTGAGGTAAAATTACTGTTTTTGTCAAAGGACCTCATTTTTGTGTCCTGTCTCTTGTAGACATCTTCTAAGTTCAGTACAAATTAAGATCTTTAAACTTTTTTATTCTTACTTAACTAACTTATTTAGTCTATTGTAGGAATGAAGTAACAGCTACCCTAACCTGATTTCAGAACTAAATCATTTCATGTTATTTACATTACCTTTCAGTGGAGTGGGCCTTATCAGCAGCGGGGCTCTTATGACAGAGACAGCGGATATGGAGGTTACTGCTGAAGAAACCTGGAGCAAGAGGAAACAGAGGCCGATGCACTACAAGTGTTTACACGGACAATTAGGGATGTCATTTGAATACAAATAAAAAGGGCTAAATACACCAGCAAATTATATTATACACAATACTTCAGATTACAGTACACATTGCACTCGGTGCTTTGACAAATCAAGGATAATCAGTGTTGTAGCATTTTATAATTTTAATATTGACAACCAGGTCACTTTTTAGGAGTTTTTATTGAAAATATTCTAAAAACATTGTGCTTTTTTAAAAAACAACTGTATTTTGCACATTTTTAACACCAGTGTTGTTCAGAGTGCCTTAAGTCAGAGTAACAATAAATACTCTAAAAAGTTTGTTTTTTGATCTGTACACTTAATCATCTGGATCTCTTTTCCGATGCGATCGGCTGAGCGTCCGGTTGTCTCTGTCCTCGAGCGCTGTCAGGCCTCACCGTCTGATACAGCAGCACGGCTCCTTTAGCTGAAGGACACAGCTCCGCCCACAGAGGGCTGCTGATGTCCAGCTGCAACACCTCCTTCATTCAAGGGAACAAAATGCATTTCTTTGTATCTTGGTCATGTTCTCTACTTTCCTCCTAAGGCATCTGCCAAAAGGAGTTTCCCTGCAGATAACTAAGTATATCTGTCACTATAGATTACTCACAGTTCTGCCAAGGAAGACAATATCTGTGGACTCATGGGCCTCCGCTCCTCCTTTCCAGTACAACTTTCTTACTTCATCAGATGTCAACGAGCAACTGAGGACACACACATTTCACATTATATCTTTATAAAACAATTCGAGGCACACTTCCATTATATCAAATCAGTACTGAAGGTACTACCTGACGTAGAACTCAGCACTAGGTCTGCCGGCGCTGGTGTGATTCAGAGCGATACCCATCAGGACCGGCTCTCCGAGGGAGCTCAGAGGAATATTCACCTGTGGACACACAAAAAGAGAAGTATGATATATTTCATCCTCTGTTTAGTTTGGTTTGTTTCATGCCACTTTGGACATACTTTATTTTTATTCAATTAGGTCAGCTCGAGTTTTATCAATGAAGTAACTAAACATTAACTTGACATGAAATCAGTTTACAGTGGACTCTGTTCCCACCTCGTCTCTGATCTCGGCGCACACAGACGAGAACAGCTCTGAGACGACGGGCCTCTGCTGCATCATGTCCACGCTGATCTGCTCCTCACACACCGCCTGGCCCAGCCACGCACACACCACCTGAGGGGGGGGGGGGAGGCAGCAGCAGTAAGAAAACATCACCTACTGAACCGGACTACTAGGCACATGGCAGCTTCACCTGCAAAATATCCCTCAAGGAGACCAAACCAAAAAAAGAGACAAAACTACTAAGAGCAGCAACTCGACCAAAAACGGATACAAAATACTTTGTGGTTCTTTTTTTACTTTTTCCAAAGAGACACAAAATTACCAAAAAGGGACCCTAAAAAGCCAAATAGACACAAAATGTCCACAGAAAAGCAAAACCACCATAAAGACACAAAGCAACTATTAAGGGACACAGAAATACCACTAAAAGACACAAAATGACCATGCACACATGTTCTGTTAAACACCTGAACTTTTGAAAGCACATCCATAACATTCATCCGTTTGCAACTTACACATTATGTATCTAATATATCATATTCCAATTACTTGTATATAGACTCTCCTTGCACTATTCTATTTTATTTGTATTTACTATTTTAACTATTTTATGTTTTATTGTGTTGCACTGTTGGAGGAGCCTGTGACCTAAGATTTTCATTGACATATCTACACTGTAGCTATGTACAAATGACAATAAAGCCTTGAAACTTGAACCACAAAGAGACCCAAAACAACCTTTGTCTCATAATGTTCCCATCACCAACATATCTAAAAGACCCTGCACAGTATCTTCTTCACCTTCGGCTCTGGGTGCCCCCCGGGGATGTCCAGCAGTCCCCCGGCCTCCGCCACCTTCTGGCTCCTCCTGATCAGCACCACCTGTCCGTCGGCTGTACACAGGACCCCGCCCACGCCCAGAGGCTGAGCCAGCAGCGCCAGAGCGTCCCCGAACTCCGCCTCTCCGCGCTTACGCAGCTCTGCCACCCGACACGACCAGTTGGTTCCCAAGTAGTCTTTGTAGCATGTGAGGCCGAGTCTCAGAGTGAGGAGGGGCTCGGGGTCATCTGCGTTTTTACTGAACGTGGAGGAAGCTGGTGACAGTGCACTGACACTATCTGCACTTTCTACCTGATTCACAGCTCTGCTCCTTCTGTCCAAACTGCTCTGAGCAGCGTCATGCAGTGAATGTGTGATACATGACTTCTCCATTCTCTGTCTGCTGTGTGGTGTATCACCCTGCTGCTCCTCGGCTCGGTCTGAGGAGGGGGTGTGTGGGGGAGGAGTGCAGGCTGGGTGAGAAACAGAGGACGATGACAAGCAGAAAGAGTGGAGTCTGAATTTTGACCCGTTGAAAAGCCACGGCTCTTTGGACACTCGCTCTGTCCACACCTCCTCTATGTGACGATCTACAGCCGGATCCGTCTGCCTGTTGAATCTGAGAAGAGGAAGAGATAGAAAAAACAAGTTAGCCTTAAAGTTACTGCAGTAATCCTTTCGCCCATTGACAAACTCCTATATTTAAGGATAAGAATGGTGTTATCCATCTTGTTTCATTATTGTCAACAAATCCCATCACAATTTTTTACAATTTTACCAAAACATGAATCCCTTTATCTTTGTTTAATATGTTGTTATGCAATTGTGTCAAAAGGACATTTCAAAATGGCCGTGAACTGAGTTGCCACACCCTTTTGCTCACATCTGATAACTGAAGATCCAGATATCAGATGACAAGGTCCTAAAAATGTGACGTATAAATGTTGCTCGTAACACAAATAAAAAGTACTTTCCTGACAGATTCTGTCAGACAAAAACAACGCTCATGCTCAAAGAAGATTATTAACACTAATTTCTCTGGGTTTAAAAAAATGCAAGAATAATTTGTGATAATGGCAGTACACAACTCAACAATATAACATAAGTCAAGTCGTTTTTATACATTTGAATGCTAAATTGCTATAAATATACCTTCAAGAAGAGAGGCCGTATAATTATATTACTCTGTAGTTTTAACACATTTAAGAGTATTGTGTTATGATGATCGTACCTTTCAGAGAGCTCCACCTGTACCTGGGCCTGCAGCAGACCCCTCCAGGCGGCACAGTGCAGCAGCAGAGACACCTCAGAGTCCGTCATCTCTCACTGAGGAGTATCATTGAAGTCTCAATGCTGCAGCTCTGCAAGTGTTTTTAAATGTTAATATTTCTATTAAGGAAACAAAAGTAAGAGAAGTTGTTGATAAGCAAAGAGGTGAATCTGAGAACATTGAATAACTGTTCAGGTCAGGATGTTTGCTTCTTACTGCTCCTCCCTCCCCTTTTCATACACAATCAGACACGCTAAGAATACACATACAATCACTGATTAAAGCTGAAGTCATTTTGATCACTCATTATTACCAGGGAAAAAACGTTGTATTATTCTACACAGAATTATCAAAGAAGTCGGGGAGACTTGTTGAACATAATTTGCAGTTATTTCAATTTTCAATCTTTGATTTGATTAAAGATGTTATTGAAACCATTATAATCAAATAACCCTTGAAATATTAAAAACGTCTGCTGCTGCTTTGATCTAAAACTGAGTAACACCCCAATCTGTGATGTCACTGCAGGTGTTTAACAACTGTCAAAGGGCAAAACACCTGCAGTGATACAGTACAGATGTTACATTCATGTCGTGACACATCTTTTACTTGTAGTTGATATTTCACATACACAATTCAAGACTTTTGGTCCTTCGCACATTTGTTTGTGCTAAATTCACTTTGTAAACATTGGCTATTATAAGCAAAACACTGTATGGCGATATAGTGACTATTTAGATATCAGAATAGTACTTTTAAGAAACAATTTAGCATTAAAAAAGAATAAAGACAAGTCTATACACCACATTTAAATATACAAAGAACCTTAAAAGATAAAGCTAGGACAACGAATATATGACAATATATGGCAAACTACAGTGTATTATATTTTAAAGTGTATAGTTAATATCCTACGTTCTTATATTTAATGTATTTATTATATTTCTTTTGTCCACACATTTTCTGACCTGCTGGATTTGTTCACTTGTTTATAAAGAGAAAATAAAAGATGAAAACATCTGCACTGACATCACCTGCTGGGCTATGGCCAGAAGAGCAGCTGGGTGCACCCAAAGACCAGTGTAACTATTCAATGTAACATTAACAAACCATGAATTGATACAGCTTCTTTTTCTTTTAACTACAACATTGCCACTGTTTAGTTAGCTTCAATGTTGTGCACTTTTTTAGCTGAAAACTTCAGACGAGCTAACTTACTTCCACTTCATATCCTGCAGCATGGGCACAGCAGGTGTTCCGGATTAACTTGTTTCCCGATCAACTTGTTTCCCCAATCAACTCGTTTCCGTGGGGTGCGTGGCTTTCGACTGAAATACACATTTCGATCGCTTTCTTCTGTCGTTTACATACATCTTTTGGTATATTTGGCTTCTTAGGAACACGTTGATGCACATCCAGTACCAGTGTGTGAGGTTGTGATTACGATGGCGATATCCGGACGCGAACTGCGAGGACTACAACAAGACAAACGAGTTGCTCGAATAAATCATTTAAACCAGCTATTGTTTCCAGACTTATTACGGAATATCGTTGTTAATGTCCAAGTCCATCTGTGTATACCTTCAGACAGCCTCCAAGTGAAGCACACGGTGTTTACTCACAGTTTGAAAGCAGCGTGGAGAAGTCTTCATCTGTGTTAAACTGTGATCCTCCCACGGAACTGGGACCCGCCCAGGTTAAAATGTGACCCGCCCAGGTTAAATTGTGTTACGATTTCTGTGGCTATCTACCAGCGATCATGTTTAATATGAAAGACTACCCACACATGTATCCCTTATAAAAACGGTATTGTGCAGCACTCATCCAGATAAGATGTGACTGTTACCTCGTTTTGCAAAGATAGCAGCAGAAATGTCATTGGGGATATTTAGACTTTAAAATGCTGCTTGGTCGTGAATGTTGGTGTCGGCAAACAATATTACGAATCCTCTATTCAAACAACATATTCAATGTGCATCGACATGAAAATAACAAAAAAGTTCATGCTGGACCCGAGTCCCAACAGTAAAAATCAATCATGGCCTGCGCGTTATGAGTGCGCCACGAATCATCACGTCTTAACAGATCACCACAGCTCATTTTGTTACATTAATATTGTCAACAAGTTCTAGAAAAATGCAACCCGACATCATATTGATAATAATATATGATACAAATGTAAGACTGACAACAATAATAGTTTGTAAAGGATTTATTGACGTGAATGTTTTGAACAGTGAACACAGAAATCGTAACAGTTTGACCTGGGCGGGTCCCAGTTCCCTGGGAGGATCGGTTTAACACAGATGAAGACTTCTCCATTCAACACGTCCTAACAGATCACAAGAGAACAATAAATCAAGTCGCTGTGTTGATGCCTGTTATCCAAAGCGATTTACAATAAGTATTCACTGTTCAAAACATTCACATCAATACATCCTTTACTAACTATTATTGTTGTCAATATGATGTCGGATTGCATTTTTCTAGAACTTGTTGACAATATTAATGTAACAAAATGAGCTGTGGTGATCTGTTAGGACGTAATGATTTGTGGCGCACTCATAACGCGCAGGGCATGATTGATTTTTACTGTTGAGACTCGGGTTTGAGTCCAGCATGAACTTTTTTGTTATTTTCATGTCGATGCACATTGAATATGTTGTTTGAATAGAGGATTCGTAATATTGTTTGCCGACACCAACATTCACGACCAAGCAGCATTTTAAAGTCTAAATATCCCCAATGACATTTCTGCTGCTATCTTTGCAAAACGAGGTAACAGTCACATCTTATCTGGATGAGTGCTGCACAATACCGTTTTTATAAGGGATACATGTGTGGGTAGTCTTTCATATTAAACATGATCGCTGGTAGATAGCCACAGAAATCGTAACACAATTTAACCTGGGCGGGTCACATTTTAACCTGGGCGGGTCCCAGTTCCGTGGGAGGATCACAGTTTAACACAGATGAAGACTTCTCCACGCTGCTTTCAAACTGTGAGTAAACACCGTGTGCTTCACTTGGAGGCTGTCTGAAGGTATACACAGATGGACTTGGACATTAACAACGATATTCCGTAATAAGTCTGGAAACAATAGCTGGTTTTAAATGATTTATTCGAGCAACTCGTTTGTCTTGTTGTAGTCCTCGCAGTTCGCGTCCGGATATCGCCATCGTAATCACAACCTCACACACTGGTACTGGATGTGCATCAACGTGTTCCTAAGAAGCCAAATATACCAAAAGATGTATGTAAACGACAGAAGAAAGCGATCGAAATGTGTATTTCAGTCGAAAGTCACGCACCCCACGGAAACGAGTTGATTGGGAAACAAGTTGATCGGGAAATAAGTTAATCCGGAACACCGGCACCATAGACGAAGTGCCGATCGTGTCAAACCAATATGACCCTGTCTTTTTTATAGCATAAGTTAATTTAAGTAGTTTGGACAAGAATAATTATGATCTAAATGAAGGCATAAACGTTGTAGATGTTTAGTCTTACCTTCCTGGGTGCGTATGGATGCAGAACAGCAATGCGTTTCTTCCTCTTTTCAGACTCACTGCACAAAGTGTTCATTATCACCATCCAGTGACTACAGCCAGAACTACATGTATATGTCTCATTTAGGTTTCATTTACTTAACAGTGTGAAATATAAACGAGTGAGCGTATTTTTTAGGAAGTGTGGATTTTAATTGCTGGGTTCAACGTGTACTGGTAGTGGTAGGATACATACATCCTTAAATGTACCTCTGCAGGTGAACACGGCAACAACAGGGTTAAATCCATGAAACAAACACGTGCAGGAGGGGCGTGTTTGTGTTTTGTAAAGAAGCCAAAAATCAGCAATAACTTCCGATCATTATCTAAAACAATAATCCCAGAGAATGCGTCTCAGGTTTCAAGATGTCATTGGAAATACAAATATTGCATTTTAGGCTATAAACGTACATTAAATATCAAATAAAGTAATATTTTTTAATGTTCTCTATAGTTTTGCAAAAACACAAGTGATTTTAATGGTTATATAAGACATTCTATGTTGCAAAATCAAGTGCATTAGGGTTAGTTATTATGTATTCACATTATTGGCAAAGTTGTGCTTTATTTACCTTTGCAAAAACTCAGATACAATAATAATGTTATATAACTTGTTTTGATGTCTAGCTCTCCAAACATGTTGTAACAAACAGAACTATGTGTCCCTATCTATGGTCCCTATACTTTCTAAAAATAAAAACTCTTAATGACACAAAAATAACACATTAGAAATAACGAATACTGGAAGGAGAATAATGTAATTTGCTTTAGTAAAATTAGGAATTCTTTAAAAATGTTCACGGTATTGGCGGCAGAAACCCTGTGTTTTATTTTGAAGGGTGGGTTTCCTAGGTTTCCGGTTTTAGGTTTATGCAACGGACCTACAGGACAGACTGTGTTATCAAACTGAATCCTGCGGGTATGTCACGCTCTTCTTATTCCGGGTTTATACTTATTCCAGTTTCGTGTGTTTTGCACAAAAATGCTCGCTAATTTAGATTAATATTGTCAGGCTAACAGTAGCGCATTAAAGCTGGCAGGCTGACAAAGCTACCAGCTAGCTCAGGTATCAGAACAAAGTGTACTGGAAAAACTCAATGACGCTGTTTCATCTAAATGTAACAGTTTGTCATGATTGATGTGCAAAGAGCAGCAACATGTAGTCGGTGGTGTAGCTAAACAAAAACAAATTAAGTTAGTTTAATGTACTTATAATTATGTATAAAAACAACTTGTATTGGGTTAACACACCCCCATGAAAAAAGCATGAATGACCAGTTTGAAGGGTTGGCACTAGAGCTGTGAGATGTCGTTAAAGTCTTTATATATGATGTCCTTAACCAAAGTTATTTCACTCCCCTCTTCCCCTGTAGTTGTCATAGTCAGATCACGTGTGGACAGATGAGGGGAAGCTGCTGACAGCATCATTTTCAATGGGAGCACACTGAAAGGTAAAGAAAGGAAAACTCTCTATATCAATGTTAAACCCATTTCCCACCAACAGTATTTATCCTCGTTTTGAAATCTACTTTATCAACATGGTTGGGTTGACAACAGTCCATATCATTATTTCATCAACACGCTGCAGCCATCCTGTTTAATGGCTCTGTGTTGAAGCCACATTTTCTCACTGATATTTACACTGTGCTATGATCCAGGATTATGTCCAACTTTAATGTGACAAAAGTGAAATCTACTTCTATACAAATACATATTTATGTGGTAACTGCTTAACAATATAAAAAAAAAATATCTGCCATTTTTAAGCTCACTGCTTTCAGTGTTTTTTGGCCCTTAAGAGCCATTTTTCTTAATGAATGTTAACTTCAGAGTTATAAAACACCACATTATCTCCTCCCAACACGAGTAGAGTTTAAAGTTTGAATTATCAAAGTCCAACATTGATAAACTTGAAAGTCTGCCAACTAAGTATTTTTAATTTTGGTTTTAAATAACTCCCTGCTTCACTGCTCTGTGTATCATTTGTTGACATCTGTCCTCTGTGCACAGGTCTTCAGTGTAGAACCTCAGACATTTCCCATCATGCAACTGGAGGCTAAGCTGCGTCTATGTCAGAGTTGTCTTTGGTGCTACAAGAGCGGGCTGCGTCTGCTCTCCCAGAGCTATGCTCACAGGTAGACTTTGTGTATAGTATATGTACATGTATATAGAACATATAGTATGTATATGTGTATAGGAGAGTTAGGCAGCATTTCGTTTCTATAGTCCTCTCCAATCATCTGTTAACACCTTTAAATACAATCTTAAACTATGTTTTACTTGTCATTCTCTTAGTCTTGATTCACTAAAGTATATTTTAAAATGTTACCCAACATCTTTTACTGTGGTATGTTGATTGTATTGTTGTAATTGTACTGTTTTGTAAAGTGTTACTTTTGACAACTTGTGCTGTATAAATGAATACAGTTTTACATGCCTTTGTGTCTGTTTTGTTGAATCAGAACCACTGAAAACAATTTAGTGATTGTGTTTGGTTAGTAATGAGTTTTTGCTTTCTCAACCCCAGAAAAGCTGTGAACTACTACGATCTACTCGACGTCAAATCTGATGCCTCCTTGGAGGAAATAAAAAATTCATTTTTCAACAAATCTAAAAAGGTAAGGTCCTCATTTGTTAACAAGCTCTTCATTAGAGAACATTTCCAGCCACATGAGGGCAGCCTTTCCACAGACTAACTTTTATTTGAACTGTTCCCACAGAAAGCTTCCTGAATGTTTGTTTTCATTGCTCCCAGTCTAAATAAGGATGTGCATGTGTATTTACCTTGTGGCTCTGTCATAATTGAGCGTAGAGATAAGTTCACCATTAGACAAAAAAAGCATGGTTGAATACATTTGTTTAACAGTCTAAAATGCAAGTAAACATGTTCAGATGTGTAAATGTCTGCATGTGTGAGAATATATCCCTGGCTTAATGTTTGGTTTGGTCCCTGGACCTCATTACTGTAACGCTCTCCTTGCAGCTGCACCCAGACAGCGACCTCTCCAACCCGGCGCTGCACGGCCAGTTTGTGGAGCTGAACGAAGCGTACCGAGTGCTGAGCAAAGGGCCGAGCAGGAAGGAGTATGACTTCAAAATCAGGCATACGTACAGTGGAGGCCAGGCCTTCAGATCCACTGCCAGCTACACCAGCTACAGAGCCAGGTGGAGACACACACAACAGTTAGTGCTTGCTAATGAGGCTCACGTCACCTGACCTTCTTCCTCACTCTCTATCAATGTTAATGTGGGGGGAAAAGTTTGGATGATGTCCTTTTGTGGCAATATGTCATTCAGTTTAACTTTCAAAATAAGGCCCTGTGGTGTATTATTTCTTTGCTCTCATAGTACAGTCTAATATTGTAAAGACTGAACAGCTGAGACCTTGCGTGTTGCAGCAACACTGAAGACTACATTATTTTACTTTCTAACAGAAGGAAAACACCCCCTGCAACCATTTACCTAAAATAATGATTTATTTCAAAACAAATTCTGATGCGAGAGGTTTTGTTCAACTTTGTGCACAACACTAGAAACAAGGCATCACATGTTCTCTGTGTACAAGGCATTAACCAGTCTTCAGCTAATTATGATTTTGGGTTGCTGTGTTTTTTGTTGTTATTTTCTACCTGGTTTAAATCCTAGAGTTTCTCAATCGCAAAACCAAGTGGAACAATTTGAATTAGAAAAAGTTTCTTATTCACGACATTTTAATGGGAGTGTACTACTTAAATGTCCCCTACTGTTTTTCATCAATATATTATAGGTCTCAGATAGATATAAAACATGTCTCTGAAGTGTTTGGCTCGAAATACCAAACAGATCATGCATTGTAGCATCCCATAATCCCCTCTGTTTCAGCCCTGTTCCAAAAGTGCTGATTCTGTGTCTGTTACTTTAGATGAAAATAAGGAGCCACTCAACACAATGGTGCTCTAAGAGGGGATTCAGGTGGTGGTGGGGGGGGCGGGTACCTTGGTTGGTTATTGGCTAATGGTTACACAAGCCAAAAAAACATTATGACATCATAAAGTGGCCAAAATCTGATCAGCTCATTTTCAGACAGGTTTTTATATAAATGGATCAGGACAAAAAGTGAGAGAATATTTTTTCCTGAAACTTTCAGAGTCTCTTTACACAGAGGGGACACATGTTTATGTATCAAATACATGACAAAGTGGATTTTGCATAATAGGTGACCTTTAAGAGTCCCCCACACTTGTCTTCTTAACACTTTAGTTCAGACTGTTTTTACAGTTCTACAACCTGTCCTATCTCCTGTTTTTGATTTCACCAATCATGATCCTTTTTCAACTTCTCATCCTTCAGTGCGGAACAGCAGGATAATTCTCGTTACTGGAACCAGTTCCGTCAGACTCGAGCACAGGAGACGCCGGGAGAGGAGTGGCAGAAGAGGAGGAGGAGGAACTTCCAGCTGGTGGGATACTGCTTCCTCACCATGCTGCTTGGCATCGGAGTCCACCTGATCTTCTTCAGGTACACAACCAGCACATGATAGACACTTTACAAATATCAATGTAAGCAAGATTGAAATGATGTAACATTGGACCTAATTCACCAACTGTTTCTAAGAAAATTATTATTCGAAAAAAGATTTTGATATTCAAATCCTTGTTTTCTTATGTATGATAAGAACTGAATCTAAGCACACTAAATAGCCCTGTTTCACACTTTTGGTTACTGACATGTTTTGCATTTTCTTCAACTGTACAGTTTTTAAATTATGATATTTGTATCATTTATTTACAACATTAATTGTTATTTTTTACTGCATTATGGCATTTAAAATAATAAAACACAACACTAACACTTCAATACTTGACGTACAAGTAATAGGATCCCATGCATCTTTTTTAGTTGTTTGTTTTATTTTGTATCCACTACTGCCGCTGCGTAATATAACAGCTGATTTGGCGTTAAAGAGAGGGTTTTTTAAAGTTTGTAATCCGGTGCTTCGCCCACTTTACACCTTTGTTCGGGCATTCTTGACTTAATTCTCTCAGCCCCTCTTTTCAGTGTCTGTGTGCACACGACCCTCTGGTCTCATGCCCTTTTATGGCTATTGGCGTTTACCTATGCTAACTAGGATCAACTGGCATGCGCTTTTCAATTAATGAGGACAATGGGTTCCATCATCATCAGGACACAGGGACACAATTCAGAGGTGTAAGAACTTGGGAAGTAATTATTAAATGAGGCCCAATATTCAAACTAGACCCTTCACACTGCAGTCCAACTAATTTACTGACTGAGTTTTTCTTTGCTCCACATTCACATCCAGATGAATGGGATTGTTTGTGGACATGTGTCTGTGCCTTGTGTGTTGGAACTCATTGTATTTGTTCTCACACAATGACTGCGTCTCTTCTGCTTCTGGTGATTCACTTCTTTGTGATCTGAAGAGATGTTATAACAGCTGTACAAACTCATAAAGACAATAAAAGCATACAAAGGGCCCGCTGAGCGAAGAGTTCTTAGGTTAAGCAAAGGTCTTCTGCAAACGCTGTCTTCAACTCAAGTCTTTCTGCGACTCCTTCAGGAAACTGGAACAAATTCACAATACCTTCATGGACGAGAAAGATCGAGTCATCAACGACATTTACAATGAATCCAAAGAGAGGGCCAAGTGAGTGCACAAACTATAAATTCAACTTGAAATACTTCTGTTTCGTTCTTGTGATGCTTTAAAGTGGAGCGGAGTGTGAACGTGTCTTCTGTGGGGTTTTTTCAGGGTCAACGGATTCAAAAAACAGTCTGAAATCCTGCGACAGAGACATGCTGAGTTTCTGGAGAAATTAAAAATCAGTAAAGGTGGAGAGGACAAGTAGGAGAGTCTCCAGCGGTGCTCTGTGGTGATGATGATGATGCCAGCAGGTGGTAGGCAGCGGCAGACTGGATGCGGTGCTTCTTTTAGGATTTTTAAATTGTTTCTCTGCGTTTGTCCTCAGTTGTGATGCTGAGGGCTTGAAGAGACACAGATCATGGGGTGTGATGTGGTAGAGTTTAATCTGGTCATTCAGGTGTTTTTTTCCCCCCGAGGCTGAGCTGCACATCGGACTGGAACGGCCCGTTGAACATGTTATACCTCAGTCAGTAAACAGGGGCCAGTCTGTACACAAACCTCTCTCATGTTTGTCCAAAGGAACTCTAATGTACACTGAATGAACTCTCAGGAACATAGTATTTATTATCCTTCTTATTGGTGTGTTAGTGGGGCTCACAGATAACGGCAAATTAAATCAGATATGAGCGGTTGCTAAGACTATAGTGGAAATCACTGAAAAGTTATCTGAATAATTTGTGTGTGAAATAGGCCTAACATATAATGCAAATGTGTTATTTGCTGAAAGATTGTCCCATTCAGGAACGTGCACAGACATTTGGAGGGGCTATTGCTCTAAACTGGAAAAAGGGCCTCCCCCTGAAAAAAAACACAAGACCTTTAGAACATTGTAACTTGTTTTTAATGTAAAAGAAACCAAACGATTATTACATCAACTAAATTGAACAGTAAATCACATCTCATAACAAAATAAGCTAAGGCGACTACTTGCATTCTGTGACTTGATTAAAAAAAATACTGGTTTGTCCCTTATACCCTAACTGCCATGAGACAACTCAAAATCAAGTTTCCAAAATCTGACACTGAGGTGGTCTTAACGCACCGGCAGATGACAGCGCTGACAAAGTGTGTTTCCCGCAGCAAGACGCTACAATACTAATTGTGGGCTTATCATGTTGATTCGGCCAAAAAAGAAAAACAAACTCTCGCTCTCTCCAGAGGGGCAGGTCAGCCAAAAAGGCCAAACGGGCCGTTGCCCGGGCAACATTAGCCCGTACCTGTGCACGTCCCTGGTCCCATTGATTGAAATCATAAATTGTTTAGCACATGAGGACGCTCCATAATGTTCTCTTAGGTTTGATGGGACAGTTCGGGGGGGTTGTTGTGAGGAGCATGAAGTGTACAAAGTCAAACAATTGTGGTTTGTCAAGGAACATGGTTTAAATATGCCAAATGTCTGTTGGTTCTTTATCATCACAGTCATACTCCTCATTTTTCTCTTGCCCGACCCTGTGTGTTACTGCAGAAATGCAACACCACGCATCATAAAAAGATCCTCCATTTGTTAGAAATGGAGTCGGATCGCTATTATGATTTGAAACCAGGGAGAACAAGTCTTTTACATTTGTTCAACTATTGTTGTAATGCGACTTTAAAACTGCCACTTTTAAAGGGAAAGCAAGTCACAGGATATTTCATCATTAACCACTTTTCCTTACAGTTTTAAATATTAGAGATTGTTTTTTCTGTTTTAGTCTGCCTTACATATTCCCTGAAGGGATGTCAGAGGGAAATTATTAAAATACTTTTTCTCATCAATCATTACTTCCCCTTTTTGTTCCGTCTCTTATTCAAATATGCATTGGACACGCAGGCATGTATTTTAATATATTTTCTAACCAATACAACTAGGATTTCTTTTTCTTTTTTAAATGACATTTTTAAATCTTAATCAACCATTTCAGAAATGGCAGGGTTTACTCAGACATTCAGATGTAGAGTCATCTTTTAATGAGCAACCACACAAAAGAGTTCTGTTGTAAATGGATAATTGGTGATCTGCCCTGCTTTATTATTCACAAGTGTATTTTCCATTATCCCAGCGGTATAGATTTGAACTGAAAACTCTAATATGAAATGTGGAGCTGCAGTTGTGACTAACTGAAAGCTGACTTAACACAGCATGGCTATTTGCATATTTATATTCACTAAATGTCATTTTGGTTATAAGAACTTCCTTTGTACACAACATTTGTTGGCTGGGGACATTATGGAAAAGAAGCTTGGTTTCTAGTTGTTTTGAAGAATACTTGCAGACGTAAGGAATCCCAGAAATATTTTATGAATTGTGTTTTGAGAAGAGATGTTTCTTTTTTCCTCCTCGCTGTTCTTGTCACCGGCGGCCCCTGTCCTGAGACTTCAGCTGGAGATAACAAACTTCTGCACACAGACACCCTCACGCTCATGTGGCGTGTGAGTGCCCTGTCATAACCCAAACACACTTTAATGAGATTCTGGTGTCTGCATGCCTACACACACACACACACACACACACACACACACACACACACACACACACACACACACACACACACACACACACACACACACACACACACACACACTGTAGTGAAATGACAACCTTAAATGCAGTTTTATTTTACATTTATCTTTAGTTTAAAGAAACAGTCGTTCCCAAAATGAAAATACATACCTTTCCTTTTTTATTGTCGCACTTTTCTATCAATTCAGATTATATTGGTGTGACTTGGAGAGTGTTGAGATATCAGTCAGAGAGATGTCTGCCTTCTCTCTGATAAAATGGAACTAGATCGTACTCTGCTTGTGCAGCTCAAAGGGACACCAACTGAAAAGCAATTCTGGCTACACAATGATTTAAATTATTTTATAATATTCACAATACCCTTTCCAAAAAAGCCTTTAGGAGACGATTTGATATTAGGAAATAATAAAGATATTCAAGTATTTTTCTTAAAAGAACAACTATCATACAGTATGGGTTTATGGGCATGGTATTTTGAAGATGCTGCTATCAATCCATTTCTATGGAAATACCAATAACACATCTTTACAAAATGTTTGTTCCTATATTGTCTTCCTGAACTACACAACGTGCAGTTGCAAAATTGCAAACCCAGGGACAAATAAATAGATTTATTGAATTAATAATCAGAACTTTAGGAATCAATAAGCCCTTGTGAAAATGCCAGCTAAAACCTCTAATGTTCAGGAATATTAGTGAGTAAATGACGTCAGTGGCAGTTACATCCCTGTCCCCCACTTGCAGGGGGCCCCTGGAGGCCCCCGGACCCCCCACTCCGGGACCAATAGAGACGCTGCACCTGTATCCAGTGCGCCTGTCCTGTTTGGGAAAAGTTGGCAGTGCAATGGTTACGCTGCGTGCGTCTCAAGGGCAAAGGAAATGAGGAAACCGATCACAACAAGTAATGAAGACTCAGACCTCTCTGTGTCTGTGGACTATCCTGCTGCTTCTGTGTTAGCTGCGCTGCCATGTCAGTGGAGGTTGTCATTCCTGTCATATTTATAAGAGGATAAAAAAACCGGCAAGATGCGCCTGGAGGGGAAACGTCACATTTTCAGAGGGAGCGACAGTGTGGAGAGACTGTGACCGAGCCGGGGAGCGGAATCTGCGGCACTGTCCAGCTCTGCACGGCGGGATAAAGCGTCGGATCTTTACCGGATAAGCGTCCTGTAGCTGGATGATGCGTTTTTTTCAGCCACACACAGGATTCTATGATCGCTCCACGTTTCAGCGGGAATCTGGATGATCCTCTGGTCACGCCACCCGGACCCCCACACCGGCTTTATGGGCTCAGCACCAATAGACTGACCTGGAATAAATAAAAGAAGCATCAATCAAAGTTTGAATAATTCTAATTTGGGAAAAAATAGGATTTAAAGGTTATGGTGCCACGATTTGATAGGGTTATTTAATAATTACTTAAAAGTCATAGCTTTTCTGTCTGTATTTTTAAAATAAGTGGAGGGAGGGGCAGGCCTACCCCACTCGTGTTTTACTAATTTAAATAACAAACTATAATACTTAAGGAACTGACTTTAGGGGAAATTAAGACGATCATTCAGTTTCAAATGAAACAAGATAAAGTTATTATTTAACATCTGAGGATGCCACCCTTGGTGTCCTTTCAAGGAAGGGAGCCTGGAGAATGAAAGCGGGATTTCTGGGTCTTTAATCGGACACAGACACTCGGACAAGCGACCTTCTGTTTGTTTTTTTTTGGATCGGTCCAAAAAATATTTTTGAGTGCCCCTTTGGACTCCTGCACAATGGGGATTATGCTTCAAGTTATTCTAGGAATGTTTCAATTCCTGCTTCTCACCAGAATACCGACGTCCCATGCCAAGGTATGTATAGGATTTGACCCTAAAATATACTTCATGTCTGAGGGTGTCAGACTGACATCTGTAGTTGATTTCCAGTGTGTGTTGATGTCACTTAATGCGCATAAAGTAGCTTAATGTCCCATTTTGTCTGGTGGAACAAATGTGTGAGTTTTAGCTTTGTTGAAGTTATCCTCTAGGTCAATGACACCTGTCACGTAGGTCCAGTGACAGCACCATTCACTATAATAATCATGAAGAAGTCTATAAACGTTATAGTGGCATTGTGGTATTTATTGTCTCCTCTATCATATTTCACAGCCAACTTCTATTGAGACACCCTAACAAAGAGTTTATACGTTGTAATAAATAATTTACTGAAGGTTTAGATCAGTGATTAATCATTCAGAATAACGTTTGGGCTGCCAGGTTATGGAACATCGTGTGTTTTTTTAGCTAGCATCAGGAAGGCAGGGCATTTGGACAGGAATACATTTACTACCCCTTAAATGGGGAATCTCACACATATTTTGGAAAATTTATTGATTTTCAATTGTTTTACATTACACCCACTTGACTGTTATTACCCCTATATTACTCATTAATTAAATCCTAATACAGCCCTATTACAACGTTATTACACCCATATTATACACCTGTTACACCCATGTTAAGCTGTTATTACCCCTATACTACACTGTTATTAGACCCATAATGCACCCATGTAACACCAATTACAATATTGTTACACCCACATTTTATATTAATACACCCCTGTTACACCATTATTACACCCATATTATACCCATGTTACACTGTTATAACACCTATATTACACTTTATTAGACCCATATTACACTTATGTCACACCCCTATTACACTGTTACTACGCTGTTATTAGTCCCATATTACACCGCTATTGCACTGTTATTAAACACATATTACACATGGACACAGCTTGTCAATTGTCTGTATCCCGACAATACACACATGCATTTCCAAACATTTGGACTACCTATGTTGCAAATGTATTATCTTTTCAATTTACACACGGCATCTATTGCACATCTGTCCGTCCTGGGAGAGGGATCCCTCCTCTGTTGCTCTCCCTGAGGTTTCTCCCATTTTTCCCCTTAAACTGTGGGTTTTCTCCGGAAGTTTTTCCTTGTACGATGTGAGGGTCTAAGGACAGAGGGTGTCGTATTGTCATACTGATATTCTGTACAAACTGTGAAGACCACTGAGACAAATGTAACATTTGTGATATTGGGCTATATAAATAAACATTGATTGATTGATTGATTGATCCCCCCAGGATACAGACACCATTTAAGGGTTAAGAGTTAGTATGTTTTGAATGTCATTTAATTGATAAGTAAGTTGTCAAAGTAATATTTCAACATAATACACTTTTTAATTATATACTTTCCTGCTACCACTGGTTGCCTAGCAACTGGTCACTGGTCAGACCCTGAAATAGCCCCAAACAATTATATACAATCTGTTGTGAATGAGCTGCAGAGGTGCTACAAGGTGGATTTAAAAAAAGATTTGTACCAGCGAGTCTATCTGTTTCCAGTCTTTATGCTAACTTCGCTAGACTTTGCTGCGAGCTATCGCTTTATACTGTACTTATGACATTACTGAACACACATGAAAGTGGTTTGGATCTTCTTTTCCAAATCTAGAAAATCGAAAAATATTACTTCCTGAAATGCTAAACTTTTCCTATTTGTTAGTCAGAGTAATCACTGGAATCGTTCGCGAACGTAACATCACTATTGCCTTATACAATACTTAAAAGATTCCTCCAAAATATAATTTTTTGCAATTCATTTGGAAAATTGACTTGATTAATTCATGGACTTGGCTAATGATATAACTCTTAAGCCATGTACTACATTTTATAAATATTTTTTTAAAAAGGCGCTTCATTGACAATTCTTTATCTCTTTATTTGATTCCTGCTTAGTATTTACCATTGATAATACTGAGATGGTCCACACACAGCAGAAGGCACACATACATGGAGAGACCTACGTACATGTGCAGGTTCTTTACTTATGTCTGGAGGCTGGTATCAGGAACAGGCAGTGCTCTGCAGGGGTGTGGGATCCAGCCCTGAATTGTTTTGCTGTATGTTTTAGTGATACATCATCATAGACGCTACATAATACACAGCAGCGTGACTCCTCACCTGCTCACAGCTTCTGTCTCTCACTCAAGTATCTATGCTTTCATGATGTCTGCTTTTCTGACACATTATTTGGAAAAGAGGTCATCTCTTTCCTCCTGTAGTAATGAAGCTTAGTGTGGGGCTGGCACATGGTGTGTAGTTGTAGGAAATGCACACACACATACACACTTGGCTCATCCTTACAGTGTGCGCTTTAGGACTTGTTAGACAAAAGACAGACAGCAAAACCAGTGTAGATGGCACT